TGTATTAAATACTTTAAGGCAAAGTTCCCATGCAGACTGAGTCACAGGCCCCAGTGGAGGTTTAACAGATATCTTTGGATTGCTGTTGCAGGAGGGAGAAATGGGACTGGCAGGCAATGTTTCCTTATCCATCCTTCCTTAGCAGCTTCCCAGGGGCTTGGCACTGGGCCACAGGCAATGAAGATGTCCAGGTGCTCTGTGCCCTCAGACCAAGGAGGCTGCACGGTCTCAGACCTCCCTGGAGAGGCACATGGTCACATGGAGCTGAAGACTTACCAATGTTAATCTCATCATCAGTCAGAGTGTCTCCGATGAAATCAAACTGAAATGATTGCAGTGTCTGGGAAAATTTCTGAACAGCAGAGGAGTAATCTGCAAAGGAGGGCAAACAGGAGAAATGGTCAACATTAACGTCCTTTGACCGATTTTCTCATAAAACAAGGGATCCTGCTCCCTGAGGGAAGCAACCTGCATTTAATGCAGCTAAACAGCTAACCCATTAGACCTTCAGTAGAACAAAGTTTGAGCAACTAAAGCCACAAGAGGTAAAGGAGAGGGGACAGATTAGTGAAGTCCTTTTTACAAAGGATGTTTTCCATCCTCAACCCCCCTTCCTTTTCAACTTATTCTGGCCAAAGCCTGGAAGATATGAAACTATTTAGTGATACTTTTAAGAGGGTCTCCTTAAGTATTTACTGAGTGCCCTTTATCAGCAAAGGTCTAGATGCGTTGTGATCTCTGATGAAACAAACATCTATAATCATTCTACAAAGCGAAAAACAGCTCCATTGTATAGCTGTACAGCTCAAGATCCTGGAGTAGCTGGGACAGCTAGAACTAGAAGACAGGTGGTCTCTCTGCCTCCCCAGGGCCCTTTCCATGACTACACGCCTACCACCTGGATGTTCTGCACATTCACCAGATGGCAGCCTGGGCTAGGATACTGTCTAGCAGAGGAACAGATTTAACTTGTTCACAAAGTATTTGCCAAGGGACCTAACCAAACAAGCAATGAGTGAAAAAAAAAAAATCATGGTGACATGGCCAGACAAATGCCTTTCTTTTTGGTTAATGATTTCAAATGGTAGTATATAGAAATTTAATAACAGTATAAAAAGAAGTATTAGTTATATTTATGAAAACCTATCTTTATTGAAATTGTTAAGACTGACTTTCAGCGAGACGTCCAGCCACACACTCTTGACCTTGCTACTCCAATGTAGTTCTCAGGCCAGCAACATCATCACCATCTGAGAGCCTGAAGGAAATGCACCATAGCCTGGCTTCACCCTAAACCTAGGAAATAAAATTTTGATAAAAATCTCTAGGGGATTCACATGCCCTTTAAAGTTGGGGGAAGGGTGCCATAGGCATTTGGCACAGCAGGTTTAACTCTCCACTTCATAGGCCCACATCCCATATTGTAGTATTTGGGCTCAAGTCCTGGTTCCTCTCTCTGCCCCAGCTTCCTGCCAATGCACTTCCCGGGACAGCTCAAGGGGGTGGGTCCCTGCCACCACACCCTCGTGAAAGACTCAGTTAAGTTCTAGATTCCTGACTTTGGTCTGGTCCTGGCCATTGCAGGCATTTGGAAGGTGGGGGAGGCAGTGTACCAACAGAAGGGAAATCTAAGACTCCTCTCCTCTCCTCTCCTCTCCTCTCCTCTCCTCTCCTCTCCTCTCCTCCCCTCTCTTTTTCTCTCTCTCACTCTGCGTTCCGATAAATAAAATACATAAATTTCACAAAACAAATTTTGAGGAAAGTGCTCTCACCACCTTAGAATAAACCATAAGACCATCATTCTAGAAAAGCTCAGGCTTGTTGGTTTCGTGTATTTTCAGGTCTCC